GCGGAGTTTAACAGGGTGGTCGAGAAATCAACGGCCTCGCTGAACTCAAGCACCGAATCGTCGCGTGGCAAAATCTTTCGATGGCGTTCGTCCAGAAGGCCGTGGTGGAGTTTTTCGTGATCATGTACGATGTGCTGTTGAAGTTGATGGTGGAAATTGGAATTTGACAAAGTGTAACTTATAAGGCCTTGAAAGTCGAGGGAGAAAAGTGTCTTTTTTTCGCCCCTCTCCCCCGTTTTCTGTGAGAAAGCAATATGGGTTGTGAAGTAGGAGGGTATTTGCATGGCCATGATATTCTGTTGATACACTCAACTCCCGCAGGTAGGGAACATTGAGCGAAACTTCGGCTCTATAAGTATTGTGCGACTCACCTCCTGTCGTAACTTATTGACTTGGTTGTTGCAGAAGGCATACGGTAGCGAGGCAAGGACACGAACAGCTGAAGCGTCCTTGTGGCTCACTTGATGCTCCTCTGATATACGTTTCTAAAAGACTACTCAATCACTGTAATCACGGAATGAGTCTCCCAAAGTTTGTTCCCAAAATATGTAACGGTTTTTGGCAAACGATGAGACTTTCTCACACTAGGTACACTCTAGTTCGCTGCGGACGGCTGGGCGCGTCAGGCAGTATGAGTGTGTCACCCCGTCAAAGCCGTTCTCTGCCTTCTTGTTGAAGCGCGCATGCGACAAAAAGTGGTAGAAAACGAGTAATACGAACGATATGATACAGTCATATCATTTGCTCGCTTTAACAACTGGTGGAGAACGGGTTTGGCACCGCGCCAAACTCATCCCGCCTGACACGCCCAACCGTCCGCAGCAAACTACACTACAGTTTTTACATCACCGCATTTTAGGGATGTGTTGATTAGGAAAATTTTCAGAACTCATAAATCCAGCCCGAGTCTCTACTTCAGGGATACGTAGATGGATACAGCTTTCTGAGCAACAAAAGCAACTGGTTTCTTTTCCAGATCACTCAACATTACAGGGTGACAGCTGTCCCAAACCTCTGCACCGCGTCCTACTAGAAAGTAGGGAGAAACTCTTCAAAACGGCTCGTTATAAACATCTTTACCTATTTTGCCAAATAAAGCCTCATATTCATCGACGGGTTCATCGGATAAATGCTCACCTCCATTTTAGCACAAATGTCTGACTTCGGATTATAGTAGCAATACGCCTGATATTTCATGAACTGCTCGCTCTGGAGGCTGTGGAACTTCTCGTTGTGAGTCCCATTAGGACCGAGCTAAAAAACTATGCTTAGTAGTGTAGTTGGAACCCCTCTTCAATAAAAAAAGGATGAAGCTATCGACCTCAACCTCATTATTGGCATGCGGCACCCACTACACTTCCAGACCTTTCGACTTTTGAGAAAGCTTTCCGAACTGTGGCTAACTTCCCCCAACGCCGATTTTTAGTTGCGCGCTGTAGCTCCAATAGTTGCCCGCGTGGTGATTAGGGGTAGCGTGAATGAGAAGGGATCGTATTCGCCATGCGGAAATTGCGGAGGGGGTTTGTTGTGGCAGCGAATTTCGCGACACCATGATGTGTACCGGCGTCGGTAGAACATATAACCATCGCTGTAACTCGAGTGGTCAATTTCTCGAGGGCGATTTGCTATGCCCTCCGCTGTAATTTTACATTTCGCATTTAGTCCCTTATTGGCGCATAGGCATTGAACACGAGGGCGAGAATGTAAAGGCCTCTCGAAGGGAAGGTTTGACTTATTGGCGTTCTCGGTGAATCATGATGATTTTGTTCCACGAAATACTTAAAATACTCACGTAGGTGCTTAGAGTGACTCCTTCAGGATCGACTTCTTCTAGTGTTTTATTGAACCAGTTTGGATCTGCCATCGAATTATTTGAGAACAATTATAACATGTAATATTTCTCCTTCAGAAAAAGACCTTAATTTCCTATCAACAACCAAAGCACGATTGAGTCTTCAGGCTTTAAAAATCTCCAGAGACTTAAAGTCCGGTTTCTGGAAAGAAATTGCCTTTCACTTGCATATTTTCGACCAGCACATTGAACGTTTTATCCCTTTGAGCTCGGTTGCTGTGGCATAAAAACCTTCGAGCTGGAAGGTAAGGGCCCTGGTGGCGTGAATGGATAGCGCACCCGCGTGAGGAGCGGGTTCTAGTCCCACTTAGGGGCAAGGCTCTTGCCTATTACTCAGTCTTGCGATAATTGAGCGCTCTTTCCAGGAATTAGTGGAACCAAGCCTTCCAAGAGGCACATACTGTTGATCATCCTTGAAGTTCTCAAGAATCTTTGAAGTTCTCAAACAATTTCATAATAAAGGATAGAAGTATGAAGTCTTTGCCGTTGATCAATCCCTTTGTGGGATGCGGCACGCATTCTACTTCCATTCAGAATCGTAGTGGCTTATTGAATGCGATGTGGCCTATACAATGACTTGCGGTGGCCAGTCGATGTGTCAGACAGTGGTTTTTATCCTACCAGACAAATGTGGAACCATTTACCGTCCATGGAGGGTAGAAGGCTTGGTTGGACTGGGAGGGAGTTGAACGGGATTTGTACCTAGACCGCGCGAATGTAAGCGCACTACTTGCTATAACACCGCCTCCGCCTCAAACTTTTTCATATCTCTAAAAAATGACGCAACGACGAGAGTAAGTGACAAAAATCGCAAGGTGCTCATAATGATAGCAAGACTCTAATGAACCACTAGGTGCAAGGCCTTGCGCGTTCGCAAAGAAACTGCAGAAAAGCAGTCAAGAAAGCTCCCTAAGTAAGTAGAGCCGCCGCGACCTGGAAGTTTTCTCGAGGGCAGATACGATTTCATCCCCATGCACTCAGTATGGCTTCTTGATGGGGTTTTCTTAATCAAGCTGGGCCCCTATTTGAGTTTTGGGACATGTGACCTGCTGTAAACTCCTTTGATGCTATACAACCAGCTGTAATATGAAGCAGGTAAAAGAAAGACCCGCCGAAAATTTTCTGCTAATCAGGCAAAGAGAATGAACTAGCACTCACCGATTTACTTCATAGACTAGGGAACCAGGAATAGAAGTGCTATTCAAACGATATTCGTTCGCTGGAAACAGAAAGTTGGAAGAGCTGATGATGAGATCCGCGATGGCTATTATCATACAGCCGCCTCCAATCCAGCGGGCTCGATTTCCCTGGAATAGCGGTGTTTAGGCTCATTGCATTACAGTATGCCATGCACAATCGGTAAGAGTCAAACGGGTATGTGACAAGAGAATCGTAATTCACCGCGCTGGTGGGCGTCGCGTGCGACGTCGCGCCCGCAAATGACGATGGTTCCAGGTAGTAGATGGCGACAACAGGCAATTCAGAACCGAAAATAGTCATGAATGTCTACGATGACGGGGTCTACATGAAGTCCTGCTCCAATCGACAGGTTAACACGAGTTAAGAAAACGCCGCGCCCATCGCCGCGCGCGGCGGAGCGGCAAATTACGATTCTCTTGCCCGTCTCCCCCGACACTGACATATGCACTTTATCAAACGTCACCCGATTTAACCATCCACAAGGTCTCTAAGTTTCCAGGTACCGCAGATCGAGGGAATGTCTCAGCACTGCCATCCTGCAGCAGTGGAGCCAAC